ATCCCTCACTTTGGCCTCAGCCCAATAGTGTAGCTAGTTCAATAGTCTCTTCAGTTCCGTATAGGACTTATTTTAGAGCCTATATACTAAATGTCCTTTGTTGTGGAAAGCCCCATAAATATATACTTGGTTTCTGAAAGAAGCAAATGCTTCAAATAGAAAATTTAGAGCAGATAAAATAATAATTTCTTACAATACTTTATGAAAATCATGCCTTCAAAATAACATACCAGGTAGTGAAATCTTGATTAAATGTACTGTGTCTTCCCACCTCTTTGCTTCTTTAGGCACTCCTACTTCTCTATTGAATGTTCTAATATTTTAATTTAAAAGCATATAATAAAAATAAATGCAATAAAAATATTTCCATGGAGTTTCATGGAAATTTCTTATCTGAAAAGTCATCCCCATAGCAACTAACTATAACTCTACTATCAGATTCACATATCAATGTCAGGCCTAAGATAATGTCATATAATCTTTCTATGATTTCATTCTCCAGCTCATCCTTGCTACACAGAATTGCAGGTAACTATGAAAAACAAGAACCAGCACAACAAAAGCATATCATTTGTTAATGCTTTTAGCATAACACGGTGACATTTGGTATTTTTGGTAAAGTAGTTATGTATGCCAACCTATGTATTAACATATAATCTTCTTCTATCCAACAAAAGGATTGGTCAGGTAAAAATATTAATTTAATTGATCAGACAATTATAAATCCTGCACTATAAAGGAAGGAAGAAAAAAGTAAGGTAGGTAGTTAGGTTCGTTCTGGGGAGCTGATAAGGTTGTGCCATCAGAAAACAAGGCATTGTAGCTGATAAAGAAGAAATTCATTAGAGGAAGAGAGCCAAAGGGGATACACTTCTTTTGACCATTTATTTGTCTTATTGTAATACTGTAACCTAATTACAAAACCTAGAGCAGCGGTTCTCAACCTGTGGGTCGCGACCCCTTTGGCGGTCGAACGACCCTTTCACAGGGGTCGCCTAAGACAACCCTGCATATCAGATATTTACATTATGATTGATAATAGTAGCAACATTACAGTTATGAAATAGCAACAAAAATAATTTTATGGTTGGGTCACAACATGAGGAACTGTATTTAAAGGGCCAGAAGGTTGAGAACCACTGACCTAGAGTAATATATAACATTTTTTGTTACTTCTTATTTCTCATAATGTTTACACTTGCTTATGTTCATCTTCAGGTTGTTTAGGGTATGTAATATCCTGCCCCCCCCACCCCCTCTGTGTTTGATAGATCAGGAAGCTGAGAAAAGAAAATCCTGGCAAATCGCCAATGGTAGCAAAACTATTTAATGATATAATTGGTTGTTGAAAACATCATTTCTGCCTCCCCATCTGGTATGAACACATCTGTGTATTTATACAATTTTTTAGGCTATGGTTACCTGGAGATTTTTGTAAAGAGATTACCTGAAATAAATACATGCTTTGAGTATTTTCTACTTGTGGCAATGTAATTTCCTCATGTCATTGAATTTTGTTTTTATGATTTTTCACTTCTGATAAAATCTTACAGAAGAAAGCACAGTAGCTTCTCTTTTAAGGTAGCTTTGAAACATTTATAATATTAATATAAATCAGCACAAACCTGTATACTATATTAATTTAGACAAGAAACATTGTTTACCACTATCAGACTTAACATTTAGTATTTAATTTGTTTTCATGACAACTCTCCAAGTACGTATTATACTTATGTTTCAGATGAAGTGAAACAATTTGCCTGGGGTCACATAGTAAGTGGGTAGTAAGTGGCAGAGCCAGACTTTGTATCGAGATCTATCTTTCTCCCAAAGCATAGGATTTCTACCACACCAGAGTCCCTTCTCTCAAAGTGCTGTGGGTACTCAGATGGGGAGGAGGATATATCTGATGAGGAGGGGATGACTGTAAGCGTTCATGAAAGAAGGAGCATCGCAGCTAGTGCTTGAATGTGCTTGTTTTGATCATGTGGGAATGGCAGGTTGAGAAGTAGAAACCAAAAACAACGTGAACAAAGGTCCAGAAAGGGAAAGTCAGTACATGAAGGGAACAAGTTAGGATGGAACCTAGGATGAATGAAAAAGAAATGTGCTAAGTTTAGCAAGGTGTTTGAGGTTATGAAGATCCTTGAACAAAAGGCAGTGAGAGCCTTTACTAACTACCATTGGCCTAGAAGAGGTATGAATAAAACAGACACACTCCTAAAATTTCAATGGTATCTGGGTTAGGAGAATAACTCTCTGCTTAAGAGGAGCCCCCCCCCCCCCCATCCTTTAATTTATAAAGAGTAAGGGAACCCTTCCACTCAACAACTCAGAATTTAAATGTAGATGGTGTTTGGGATATCAAAAACAAACTCTTCTGACCTTTCATTAAGATAGAACGATAGATAGATAGATAGATAGATAGATAGATAGATAGATAGATAACCATGAAAGTTTTATTGAAAATGTCTTGCTTTAATTTAGATAAACATAATTATAAGTTTGCTTTGCTAGGGTAAAACTTTTAGTTATGAAACTCAACCCAATGGCTTAACTCAATTTCTTTAGACCAGTGGTTCTCAACCTTCCTATTGCCGCGACCCTTTAATACAGTTCCTCATGTTGTGATGACCCCCAATTTCATTGTTAAAAATTGAACATAATTAAAGCACAGTGATTAATCACAAAAACAATATGTAATCATATATGTTTTTTCCGATGGTCTTCGGCGACCCCTGTGAAAGGGTCGTTAGACCCCAAAGGGGTCGCAACCCACAGGTTGAGAACCGCTGCTTTAGACTCACCAGCCATCTGATGAAGTGCTGGATTGCATCCAGGCTGCACCTACACGGAGGCTGCCCACTAGTATATGGTGGCAGTATGTTTAACTAAAACACTATTTTCAGTTTCCCTTTCAATTGTTTGTGTCCTGTCATTAAGTATTGGCCAATGAAATCTAAAAGCAAATATCTTTTACGTGGGCCTTCCAGGAAAGTGCTTAGTGGTAGTAGTAATTTTTCTCCTGCCAGGAAAATGGATGTGATAACTGGAATCCAATGGCCAAAATATGTCTGTTAACCTCTTTGGTGCGTTTGAACAGAATAGAAAGAGCACTCATCCTTGCAGATAGATCAGAAAAAGTTCCTCCTCTCGGTAGATGCAATACATCACACTATACAAACCCCACTCACTTCTTGACCTGGTGCCTTTGCAGTAAAGAAACTGCAAAACTATATGAGGTGGCCCTGACAGCCACCTTGGACTATGAGGCAGGAAAGAAAGCCATGTTCTAAAGATAGCAAAACTAAAGAGAAAAGGAGATGGTTCCCTGCTCACCATGAATGTGCCATATCGGCTCTAAATGGACGACTTCCACACTTCTTTTGTGCGAGAGAGAGAAAAAATATTGTTTGTCACAGTTCCTTCTGATTTCTTTTACTAGCAGCTAATTGCTAGTAAATTAAGAACACAGCATGTTTTGAGACGTGCTACTATGAAGTACTTATTGAACAAATATTCCTTGAGCATTATGTATCAGATAATCTATATATGCCAGGGATAAAGACAGAGCTTACAATCTAGGATGTGAAAGATAGATGTGTGCTTACATAGATAATTATAGTGTACTGTGATATGGTGGTTCAGTTTGCATATTGCACGAAGACCTGTGGCCAACAGCTGAGTGGGGGTTGTGCTTTGACAGACTGCATTTACCTAGAGGGGGGAACTTTTCTAGTTCATCTCCATAAAGGGGATGCCCCATTTTAAAGACTAAGATTCAACCAATAATAATGCCTTATTTTTGTTTAGTCGTTTCCAAACTTATTTTAGCAGCAGTTAGCTTTCTTTGAAAGAACCCTCATCTGCCCTAGCTGGTTTGGCTTAGTGGATAAAGTGCCGGCCTGCAGACTGAAGGGTCCTGGGTTTGATTCTGGTCAAGGGCACATGGCTGGGTTGTGGGCACCATCCCCAGTAGGGGGCCATGCAGGAGGCAGCAGGAGGCAGCCGATCAATGATTCTCTCCTCATTTATGTTTCTCTCTCTCCCTCTCCCTTCCTCTCTGAAATCAACAAAAATATATTTTAAAAGAAGAAAGAACTCTCATCTGGAAACACAATACATTAATCCAGATGTTTTGGTTTTAGTGATCTAACTCAAATTAATTTAGCTGTAGAAGAGAATTTACTAGTTAATTTACTTATTGTAATAGATGTGGGCACGGTGTGCTAAGGAAATACACAGTAGGGCTTTTAGGGAAGGCTTCATAAAGAAAGTGATACTTGAGCTAAATCTTGAAGAATGATTTCAAGAGGAGGACGGAATAGGAAACAGCATACCATGCTGAGGAAAGAGCGTGTGCAAAGATATCTAAGAGAGCATGTTCTGTTCCAGAAATGGGAAGTAGAGAGAAAGGCTGATGGTTAACTGGCTGCAAGTGGTGGTGGTAAGAAAGGCAAATTATTAAGAGACATTCATGCTTATTAAATTAGGTTTTAGTTTTTAAATTATTGGAAGTCATTGAAAGATTTTAAAGAGCATTATAATACGAGTAGAGCATGTTTTAGGAAGATGTTAGGATTATACTTTGTAGGGAAACGTTAATTAAAAATTGCAAGAACTCAGGCAAGAGGTGACAGGCTGACTTAAGACAGAGGTACATTGAAATGGAGAGAATCAATTAATGAAAATATTTAGTAGGTCAAATAGGTAGATTATGGTGGGGATGGTACAGAAAAGTTAAGGATGATTCCTAGGATTCTACATTGGGTGATCATTCATATGATTGCATGACCATTAGCACGTAGGTACAATTTTTAATGAGAGAGGGTCACACCAGGTCAGGGATAGATTGGGAAGGAAAGACAATCAGCTCACTTTCCTTGAAATAGGTGCAGACTGGGTGGAGATACCCAGGAGAAAATTGACAATATAGATCTGAATGTGTGGCAAGAACTCTGAATTGAAGGTGTAGATTTGGGAGATATAAGCAAGCATACCTTGGAGATACTGTGAATTCAGTTCCAGACCACTTCAATAAAGTATCGCAATAAAGCAAGTTGCAATCTTCTTGCTGATGGAGGATCTTTCCTTCAATTTGTAAAAAATACAACATCTGTGAAGTGCAAAAGAGCAGAGCACAGTCAAATGAGGTATGCCTACAGTTAAAATGTGTATATCTGACCATCTAAGACTCAAAGATTGTGTTTGGGACCAATATGAAAAACACATGAGAGGCTCAAAAAGGCAAAGGGGTCTATTATGGCCTCCATGTCGCCAAATATCTCCCCACTAAGCAGTCAGTGTCTGAAATTGCCATTGTTGTGATTTATTCCTTTAGGTTAAGGTTGTATCTCTAAGTAATTGCCTCTTAAGAATACTTTGGGGAGAAATTAAATAGACAACAGGGTAGTTTAATGAAGAGAACAACTGAGCTAGGTATCCAGAGATCAATTTCTAACACTGACTTAGCCATCGACTGCCTGGATAATGTTCAGCAAGTCACTTTGTCTTGGGTTCCTCATGTGGAAAATAAGGAAGTAAGACCAGGCGACCTTTCCATATTTGGTAGTCTGTGATATTATGTCCTTCTGGAGTTTAGTTCAGTGATTTTCAAATTTATTTAGCAGCAGTTAGCCTTCTTTGAAAGAACTTTCATGCAGAAACACAATGTATCAGGCTGTTTTGGTTGCTCGGGTCTGACTCAAGTCTGATTAGATGTTGAAGAGAATTTACTAGTTAATTTATGCTATGTGAAAAGGTGCAGCTAGACCCCATGATTTCTGGAACATGAGACTGGTGCACTACCAGGACTTGCTCTCTACACTTCTCACTTGTGTGTGATGGCTTCATTCTATACAAGGCAGTATGTGGCCACTGGCCACTCTCAGCACTTCCTTTTTCCTTCCTCCTTGTCTCAGACTACCACTTTTCCCCTTTCTTCCCTGGAGAAAACACTCTGGAGAAGAACTTTTCTTGCTATGGCTTGAGGCATATTGCCCATGCTGCAGCCAAGAAGTTGGGGGACTCTCTTGAGCTGTATTGGGCACTAGAATCACATGTTTATAAGTTAGGCAGAAATAGTTTCCCCAAAGAAAAGGAGCATTGTTCACAGAAAAATGAAAATTACCAGGCAGACAAAGATGGTCAATATCTACAACATAAAACAGAGGCTTTTCCACCTATATGGTCCCCTCTGTGTAAAATAGATGGCTTCTGAAGCATACCTTTAAAGTCACCATAAGGACCCTTGGGTTATAGCATTAAAATAATTGATTTTATTGAATGGATAGTATGCCAGATACCTGCAAGCCCTTGACAAATTGAAGCACCAGATATTTATTCATGGTAGTGGTGTGTTAACCCAGAAGAAAAATTCTGGAATAAGGGAAGTACTAGAAAGAATGGTACTGATGCTGATGGAGTTGGGGTGGAGATTCTGAATATTCAGGGATCAAGAGACTTGAGACAGTGCAGAAAGAGTAGGCTGGAGGGCACCAAGATGAAGTTGGCCTACTTAGAGCCATTTTATCTAGGACTAACATATCATATGGCACAATATTAATAATGTTGGAAAAATGTTCATATTTGGCTATGATAGTAAGATGGCCCTTGATGTCACTCTTAGTCATTCTAGGGAAAGGAACAACAGGGAAGTTTACGGAAAGAGAGTTTATGGACCTGGAAAGGAACAGAGGTGATGAGTGAAGCCACCTTTCTTGGATAAATATACCTATGGTAAATGGTACCTCAAAAAATATTAGAAATAAAGTAATGGGGATATAGGGAGGGAGAGGAAGAGGAATAATATGAGCAAAAGATGAGAAGTTAGAGAGGAGTTTAGTTCAGTAAAAGGTAGAATATAGTTTGGAAGCCTTGTCAGGAAATTTGGGATGTAAAAATTCAAGATCATTTTGATTAATACTTGTTTAAAAGTTGTACTAGTGAATATCATGTAAATTATATTTAATTATTTTACTAATTATACGTTACTGATTTAAATGTGACACTTTTCTTGAAAAGCTATGTAGCTATTAATATAAAAGTATATATTGAAAGCAATAAAATAAAATTTGATTATCAAATTGTAATGTTCCTAAAAGTTTTTTAAATCTTTGCTTTTTGAGCAAGTTTTTCAAAGGAATTTCAGAAAACAGACAAAGGAACATAATTTTAAGCAATCTTATAGATCCAGCTACCTGTGCTACCAACAGAAAAAACATGGAGAGATCAGATTTACTCAGATGAAATATTAAGTGCAAATTTGGAAAATGCACAGGTTGATAGAACATGAAGTACTTTTTTTTTTTTTAATTCAGAAGGAATCAACCAGTTCTGTAATAATACAAACAAATATAAGCGTTGTTTCAGAACAAATTGTACCTACACAGCAGGGCTATTAAACCAATTTGGTCAAAAAGGTCTTACTTAAGCCAGAAGTTTTCACTTGGATAAATCATTTCTTTAAGGAGATAGTTTCTTATTTTTAATCTTAAAAATTTCAATGTCTGACAAACATAAAAAATTCCTATGAAATATGAAAAGCAAATGTTGATCTTCTAGAAAGCTGCTTTTATAAAAAATAGTTTAAGTGTTAACTCTTTTGTTGGAATGTCTTTTGAATTGAGTCTTAGGAGAGAGCTTTTGTTTTTATATCGGTGGAGATTTAATTCCTCAGCATTTGCACAGTGCCAAAAACTATTTGAAAATTATTATTTCTCTAATCTCAGTCTCATTGCAAATGTGATATATTTATATGTAAAAGTATTGCTTTCCTTTTGTTTTTAGTGAGTTAACTCATTTGCCATGTATTGCATAGAGAACATCCTTGAGGGTAGAGATTATTTAAATTTAATCTACATTCAATTGACCTTTTTATAATAAAAACCTTCTATTCTTAACTCTGAATGTCACAATTATAATTATTCAATGGATTGTGATTCATTTAGTATTTAAAAACTAAAGGTCAACAATGACCATCCCTTCTAGAAACCTAAGCTTCTGGACCAGTAAGCCTTACCATTTATTAGTACTTAACATCCACAAAAGCTCCCCCCCTCTCACAGTCACCACTGCTGTAAAAGTGGCAGATATCATATGGTTCAAGTGGAAATGCCAGCCTTATCTTCCTGGGCATTGTTGTAACTATTAATTTTGTGTTACTTCTCATACTTTCATCTCGGGTTTGTCCTGTGAGAATTTCCTGTTTATGTGTCTGCTTCCCCTATGACTGTGAGCTCCTTAAGAATAGAGACTACATATCCTTATCTTTGTATCTCTGATGTTAAATACAATGCATGTCTGGAGCATAATACACCCTCCACAGGTATTTGTTTATTGTATATGAATGAACAGCTACGAATCTCTAGTTATAGGTATTCAAAGAAGCTTAAATCTGTGAGACTAACCCATCATCTGATTCATATTTTCCAGGTTTATTTCCCTCTTTTCTTCAACATCTGGTAGTATTTCTCCTTGGGAAAGAGTGTTTGTGTGCCAAGGAGAAATGCTGTGGCAAGATGCCATTGAGACAGGTTTACTACTCTGGGTTCCTGAAGTGACTTGTTTGGCTTTGTTGCTTACAAAGCAAAAGATAATTATTCATTATATGTCAGTCCAGACTTAAAATAGTTGGGGAGGAACAAGTGGGGACTTCTTCCAAGATTAAAGCCATTTTGACGCCTATTACACAGTATGGGGATGGTGTTGCTAGGGAGAGAAATGGAAACAACACAGGTGGAAAACAAAACAGCCTGAGGTCTTCTATGCCCTTAAGGGGCTTCTTCACTCATTCACTCACACTTCCTGGTAACAAAGATGAAAGTGGTGCAACTGTTCTTCTGCAATGGTGAACTCTTTTAATAGATGATCCGTTCTGTATAAATGATGATTTGCATTTTTAACGCACCATTTTCCCCAGGAGGTGAAAACGTTCGGCAACCTATAATAGGGTCTAAGATTAATTGCAACCCTACACAACGTGCTTAGTGTGCTAAACAACAGCCCTGTAGGAAAAACAACACTGAACACTGCTAATATACCCGTGACCTGGAGCATGCATTGAGAAAGAGATTGCAAAATTGCAACAGCAGTATTCTTTCTGCCTCTAGAGCTGGTATGATTTGGTTTTGGACTGCTGGTGGTAACAGCTGAATGGAGCTGACCCACAAAAACAAAATCAAACCCCGGGAACTAAAATGTCAAGGTCATATTCATCAAGTAAACATTAATATTTCTATTTTACATTTTGATGTCTTCATTCTGCAGCCAAAGAAACGTGATTCTATCGCGAGAAGGGAGAATTAGAATACATATAGGACGGGATTAGCGCAGTCACAGGTTCTTTTATTTACATTTCGCTGTGCCACCTATAGATATTACACGTCAAAAAAACAAAAACAAAAAACACCCACAACGATGTCAGGAAACATCTCCTTCGGTCACTTCCCCGCACCTGGCATCTCAGCCACACAGACCCGCGCTCAGCTCTGCTGTCAGCCTCTGGCGAGCGAGCAAGCAGTAAACAGCGCCGAGTCCACGCGTGAACACGGGGGGAGGCGGTTCTCCAGCCTCTCTCTCTCTCCCCCCACCATGCATTTGTGGATGTGGGTTTTTGATACCCTGCCAGCCTTTCCAGCTCCGCTCGACACTCAAGCCCCCAAAAAAGAGAATAAGAAAAAAACAGCAAAGAGTAAAGGAGAAAACAAGCGAGTCCCCCGGCCGCGACGCGCGCGCGCGCGCGCGCACGCGCACCGGCCTCGGGAGGCGGGGCCCAGGCCGGGACTCGGGGAGCCCCGCCTCCTCCCCTCACCCCACCCCACTCCACGGCTCCGGGGAGTGACGGACTCCCGCCAGCCCCTCCACGTCAATCAACCCTTCTTCTCGCACTCTCTGCACCTTGTTATTAATCTCAATCCCGATATCGCGCGGACGCCTCTCCCCCGGCCCCGGGGGTGTGAACGTGTGTGAGCGAGAGCGAAGGCACCGAAAGCTGGCGTTTCTGAGTGGCAGCCTCGGCCCCGGCAGCAGCGAGCGCAACAGCCACCTCCGCAGCGGCGGCAGCCCCGGCGCCAGGAGGCCAAGGCCAAGGCCAGGCTTCGCGCGGCTCTCGCAGCAGTAGCCGCGGCTCCGGGGGCTGCGGGGCGCAGAGTCCTCCGGCGGGGGCCTTCTCGGCGGCGGCCGCGGGACCTCCCCGGCGGTCCAGGGTCACCGTCCCCGAGGCCGGGCAGCGCGGCCCTCGTCCCCTTCCTTCCCCGCCCCGGCCCGTCTCCTCGCTTCCTTCAGCCGCCCTCCTCCTCCCCGCCGCCTCTGCCGTTCCTCCGGCGGCCCGGCCCGGCCCGCCCGCCCCGCGTCCCCTCCGGCCGGTGCCTCTCCCCCCCGGCGGGCTGCCTGCATGTCTTTGCTGCCCTCAGCCCCGCCGCCACCGCCGCCACCGCCTCCCCCGCCGCCGCAGCACCAGCACCAGTCGCCCCGCCGCCGCCGCCGTCGCCGCCGCCCGGACCCCGGCGCGCTGAATGCAGGTGAGGAGGGGGCGCCGGGACCCCGGGACGCCCAGGCCCCGCGCCCCGCGAGCTCGGTCCAGGCCCCGCCGGCCGCGCGGCTCCCCTTCGGGGCGGGCGGGAGCGAGGCCCGCCCGGGGCTGTTTGTGTTTGCGTCTGCGGCCGCGGCTCGGGGAGAAGCTCGGTGGGGGCCTGTGCGCGCGCGCGCGCGTGTGAGTTTCCCCGGCCGCGGGGAAATGGCTGCTGTGGCTCCTCCTGGGCCCGAGGCAGGGAAGGAGGTCGAGTGTTTTTGCGCCCCCGAGTAGACTCCCGAGTGTTGGGAAGAGGAGCGCGTCCCCGGGGAGATGAGGTGGGAGAAAGGCTCCCGTGCGTGGGGGTGCGAGTGGGGACTTGGGCGGGCGGGTGGCGGCCCGCGGAGCCACCGGGAGTGGGTGTGTGTCGGGCTGGCCCGGGTCTGTCAAAGGTTCCGGGTGTGTGTGTTTGCGCGGAGTGGCGGGGGGCGGGGGGGCGCGGGGGAGAGGCGCTCAGGGCCCGGGAGGCTGGGACCCTCGAGTGGCGTGTCCCTCTCCCTTGGTGGCCCGGGCCTGGGAGCCTCGCAGGTGAGAGCGGCTCCGCGGGCGCCGGGCCGGGTGGGTGAGTGTGCGGCCCACGGACGGCTGCGGGGCGGAGGGCTGCGGGTCGGGGCCGCGCCTCTGATCTCGCGGCCGCGGCAGGAAGCGTCCTGGCCTGCGGCGCGGCCTAACCGCCTCGGCGCCCGCCCGCCTCCCGCCGGCCCCCCGGGACTCCGGCCCGCGGCGCCGTCTCGGGCCCGGGCAGGTGAGGGTCCGCGGCGGCGCGCACCGGTTGCGGAGCGGCCGAAGGCATCGTTTGGCTTGGGAACTGCCTGCGGGCGCTCTCCTCGGCCGGCGGTGGGACCCGGGGGAAAGTGAATCAAAGCAGTCGCCTCGGGAATTCGCGGTGCCGAGATCCCTTTAGCCGTGTGGAGGGACTAAGTCCCTGTTTTCATTTTTCGCTGCAAATACTTCATGGTTGATAAAACATGGATGCATTTTTTTTTTTTTAAAGATAAACATTTTCTTGGAGAGGCGAGGGAAGAAATGGAAGCTTCCTGTGGTTTGGCGAGATTGGGTGGATTTTGTGCATTTGAAATTGTTTGATCCTGCCTCCTAGGGGGAAAGGCGGGTACGCGCCGAGCCCAGGCGGCCTTGGAGGAAGAGGAAGTTACTGGAGCTGTCATCCTCACCTCCGCTGCCCGTTTAGCTTGGGCTCTTGAGATGGATTTGGGTTCTGGCAGTGTAGCCGAGCAGTTTGTGCCCATTGGGAGCACGCTGCTACCTTTTAAATTCAGGAGATGCTGCCTTATTACCTCTAGGTGTCTTCATTGTCAATCAAGATAGTTGTGCGTAAACACACTTTCCCTCCCAGTCTCCAAAACCTAGATTAAGCCCCGGTTGTTAGAGTGTGCTCTTGAAAAGCTGTTTTGAGAGTAGTGTAAGTCAAATGCACCTCTAAAGAGAGATCTGCCAGTTAGGTGTACAGTGCATTTCAGATTTAAGTGTAAATGGTATTTGGATAATGATTTGCTGATTTACTTTATCTACTCCACCATCTTGCCATTTGTATCCAGTTAGCTCATCTAGCTAAAATCCTCTAGTTAAAGTCATGATATAGATTCGACCCTTGCAGGCTTTCTCTATATAAGGGCCAGAGATTGGTCCTTTCTGACCTGGACTCACAGAGAAATGTTGCATGCCGTTCACTGGGAGGTGGGGGTAAGAATGGTGGTTGAGGTGTAGGGGGGCGGAGGGCCGTTTTCTGTGGCCATTACTGGAAAAACAACACACATAGTTTAATGGAACAGAGATTTGTTTTACAGACTTCAGAATTCCCGACTGTGACATTTTTTCTTAGCTATTTGGCCTTAGGCAAAGCACTTAATGTCTTTCAATCTCTCTCAACTGCAAGAAGGAGATAATACATTTTTAGTAAGGTTGTCTCAGGATAGAATGAGTAACATATGTTTGACACATAGTAGATGCTTAGTTAAATATTAGTTCCTTCACCTGCAGTCCTTATGGCATTGAAAAACATAAGTACAAATACTCTTTTAATTATTGAGAGCACTATTATGTAACTAAGTTAAAAATCAAAGCAATAGAACATTTCAGAGTCCTTTGATATGCATAAGGTATATATATACATACAACTTTTAAAATGTATTTTAGAATTATTTTCTTTCTAGAAATAAGATTCATTAAAATACCTTGTGTACTAGTTTATAGAGACTATATAGTCTTACTTAATATTTTTTCATATTTTCAAATGGGCCTCTAAAGAGAGATCTGCCAGTAGGTGTACAATGCATTTCAGAATTAAGTATAAATGATATTTGGATAATTATTTGCTGATTTGCTTTACTCCACCATCTTGCCATTTGTATCTAGTTAGCTCATCTAGCTAAAATCCTCTAGTTAAAGTCATGATAAAGATTTGTCTCATTACTCTTTTTATGAGTTCTTGTTAATGTAGCCCTGGGAAAAAAATTAAGTTTGTAGCACATGCATGTTCCCATACAGTCAAGCATTAAAAAGGATCAAAGAACTAGAGTTTACTTTATGTAGGTCTACATAGTATAAGTGCCACAAATATTGCTATGTAATTCTTTTAGTTTATGTTGACTGATTCTGGTAAATAAAACTTCTTGGAATATTTTCCTGAATGAAAGCAAAAATCCTCTATCAACTTTAATAATTTAATATTTTTTATTACCCAGTGTGAAGTAGTAAATGTGCTGTCCTTTTAATTTTAATTGTATTGTGGAAAAAGTAATGACATGGAGTTTAAGGCAAAGGCAACAGAGTTTAAAGAAATTATTTTTGTGTTGTTTTTTTTTTTGGTGAAGGCAGGGTGAACAGAATATGGTAGAAGTTTCATTGTTTAAGTTTGTAATGTCCTTATTTACCAGTAGCAAGTTAACCAGTTAGGCTAAAAAAACAAAACAAAACAAAAAAAACTAACCACTTAGTAAGCACAGAAATTTCAATAAATTTGTGAAGGATTTTTGTGAAAGGTAGTAGAGACAAGTTTATTAGAATGCAAAATGTCATGATTTTTTAAAGTGAGTGTGTTATGGATGGGTGCGGATTTACAACAACTATAACCATCTGCCATATAGTTATATTTAAAGGAAGAATTCTTACCTTAAAATGTGTAAGTGGTAATTTTTAATACCTTAAAAAATAAAATAGAATTTTACTGTTAACTAGGTATTTGGTTTTTACTAGATACTATGAATCTAGTAAAATTTAAAGCACTTCATACTTTTTTAATTTGGGAAAATTTTCTCAGCAATATGAAAGTAGATGATACTGAACTAATATATTAAGACATGTGAAATTTGTTATTAATAGTGGAACTGCTTATGCTGTCATTGTTTAAGCCAAAGGAATTGCATTACATCGAAATCAAAGTGCCAGATTGTTTAGATTTTAACAATAAATGTTACTTAAATGGGCTTTTAAACAATCTTTCCAAAATATCCCTTATAAAATGTCTTTACTTGGAGGGAATTAAAATACTTCAGAATTTGTGCATGTATTACTTTGGGTAATGCTAATTGGGGTAATAAAGACACTCCAGAATTTCAGTGGCTTAATACATATAAGTGTATATTTTGCTCATATTTGTTATGGGGTGAGGCCACAACATTAGTAACAAAGAAACAGAATTTCCGGAGGATGAGGCCCAGAAATCAGGATTTTAAAAAGAGTCCCAGGTGATTCTAATGTGCAGCCAAAGTTGCGAACCACTGCTCTAAGGCCTCCTAGCTCTGCCTATTACCCACAGACCATTTCTTTAGAATCCCCAGACTTAAGGTGACAAACATCTGTCCACATTTCATTGGTGAGGATTTGTCACCGAGTCTTACTTGAATGCAAGGAAGATGAGAATATAGTCTCTGCATAGTGGACAGCTTGGGGCTTTTCATGAGGTTATTTTAGATGGTAGCACATATCTATGAAATTATGTCTAAAATGAATTATAATACTTAAAAATTGCTTTCCATGTTCAAAGAATAAAATTGGGGCAAGGGGAAGAGAAGGGAAGGTGTAGAGCCAGAGGAGGAGGAGGAAGGAACAGGAGCTTTCTTCATTGGGGATTTTGAATGCCAACTGAAATCAGTGATTTAAAGATACAGAAAGCTGAGACAACATTGTAATTGTATTTAATAATCTTTAGTGAGTTTCTCCTTTAGTATCCAGTTATTGATTGCCATT